GGAACTGCTGCTGCCTCTTGGGCTCCGGACAGACACTGGCATAATGGCCCAGACGGTTGCAGTTGAAACAGGTTCGCTGGTCGGCTAAGCACTCGCCACTATGGTGCTTGCCACATTTCTTGCAGGTTCGGTTGCCAGAAGAGGGATGATTGCGCCAGTCGGGACCTCCTCGCTTTCCCTTCCGGTTATCCCAGTGAAAATTTGCCTTCCTCTTGCCCGAACTAGAGCCGAGCGACACGGATGAGATGGGCTGAGCATGTTGAACAACAGTCTGAGAAGGCTGGGAGGCATGATAATATGAAGGGACCGAAGCTATCGGGATGAGACAACTCTCCACCTCCTGAGCCCGACTCACAGTGTCGGCAAAAGACATCAGTCCGTGACTCCCCACCAGTTCACGGATCCTCTGATTGAGACCCTTGAAAAACTTGCGGGCCTTCTTGGGATCGGTATTCACCGCGTCGTCCGCAAAAAGGCACATTCGGGTGAAAGTGCGGATATACTCATCCACTGTGGAGCTGCCCTGCTGCAAATGGTAGAACTCGTGCTCCATCCTGTCCCAAAAGCTCTGGGGAAGGAACTTGCCACGCACCATCATCTTCATTTGCTCCCAAATAAGTGCATGAAGCTCCGCCTCTGGCCTCCGAGCCCAGTGGTCAATCCACCAGTCGGAAGCGTCCTCCTTCATCTAATAAGCTGTGAGGGAAACCCGCTGCCGGTCAGGGAGGGGAAGTACATCGAAGATCTTATCCAGTTCTTTGATCCACTCCAGCACCGCTGTGGGGTTCTCAGTCCCGCAAAAATTGGTGCATTCATCCTCTGAAACTGGACTATAAGCTGAGTAAGATCCATGGCCGGAGGGGCCTGGTGATGACGAGGCGGAGAAGGAGGTGGGGATGGCTGACGGTTACGGTTGTTGCGGGTATTCATGATTCTACATTGAATAAGCCGAACAAGGTTTAGCACAAAAAAAAAACAAAATAATCATAATTATAGAAGTCTAGAGTTCGCCAATAAACACTAGAGTTCGATTAAATCAAGGTGGATAGATCCTAAGCCCCAAATCACAAATTTAACACTAGTTTCATTGCCACAAGCGTACCATTCACATATCAAGTATTTTTATTAATACTTAAACAAAACATACCTTAAGCAGCGCGGAGTGACGGAGACGAGTGGTCATATTACAAGGTCTAAACACATAATCACATATAAACCAGTCTACGGAATCGCAGTCTGAATCTGATACCAAACTGTAACAACCCACTTTGATTTTAAAGAAATTTCGGACTTTCCAAAAATCAGTACATAATTTTTCGAACTCGTTTTCGAAAACATGGGCGTTATTAAAACATTTAAAATCAACCAAGTCGTATCTGGTTGTTCACATGGTTTTCATTAACCTTTAAAACATCAATTCCACATGATTATTAGCTAAACAATATAGCATGCATAATCGAAAACACATGATATTCAATAAATAACTCCAATACGAATATCTAAACAAAAGTGTCCGATAATCCCAAAAAGGACAAGTTTTGAAAACAATTCAACACGTGTCAAGGACCACACTTTATTCATAATGGAAGCATAATCATAAAAACATAAATCAAGACCGACCCACTCGTCTTCCTCCCGTCATCCGGCACCTGCTTAACCTGCATCCGTGAAGAGCAGGTGGGAGTGAGCACAAAATTAACGTAGTGATCACTACTATGCACATAAATAACAACATGTCAAGATGGTATGGTCGCAGCATGAAAA